TACTGTTAAATCTTATTTTTTACACATCACAACGATACTTGTTATTAGTATTGTTGAATTTGTGTAAAAAATAAGATTTAATAATCAAATTTAATTATATATTTTAGAGTAGAATTCAATAAATACGCTCATTTAAAAAGCCCGCGCTTCGATCCATTTAAAACAAGCCCTACTCAATAGTTGGCGCCACTTCTGTAGGACCATTTTTCAGTATGGCAGAGTCCATTCTTTTTCTAGCTAGGTATATTCTTTGGGACAGACTATAAAGTGATTCCCCTTAAAGGTTGATTCTCACTATACCTTCCGTTTCCATTCCATATCCGTTCCGTATTTGTTATTGTATTCACGCTATACGTATATAAGCTTCCGTTCCATATCAGTTCCATACTTTTTATTGTACATTTATATCATTACGAAATTTTTATTTTAAAAATTTGTATCTTTTGAAAAAAGTAATAAATTTAATTAAGAGGTGAAAGAATAAATAAATATCAGCAAAATTTTAACAGAGCTGGTACAAATGTAACAACTTGACAAAGCTGTTTCCGATACGCTTCAGTCCGTCCGCCAAAAAAATGTATGGAAGGAAAGAATATGGAACGGAAAGGAAACGGAAGGGAGTTTATATGGAAGGTATAGTAAAAAGTATAGTAATAATCAATCTTTAAACTTATTATGCAGCCATTGTTTCTTGAAGTCAGGAACATTTAAAGAAAACATGAAAAACAAGTAATCGTGAATGTTTTGCAAGCTATAAAAATATAAATATGGATTAGATTTGTTTATTTATTATTGATCTATGCAAATCTTCACTTGAGCTGTCTAAAGAGTTTAACAGTTTATTAATAAAGTACTTTTCAATATTAAACTCCATTGCAAAGAAGAAGCAAACGTAAAAGCAGAGAAGGTACATTAAAAACGCATAAAAGATACATTTTATAATAGAGGTATTGAAATTTAGAAAACGTCAACGTTTGACGTATCCAGTATTTTACCAAACCATTCCGTATCAAACCGATGTTTTACAGGAACCGCTCTTTACCGTAGTTTACCGGTCTGGTTCGCCTGGTTTTGCAACGGAATACAGCCTAATATATAAAACACGGCAATATTACTGTAAAATCCAGCGGGCAAGTTAGGCCGAACGCTCCGTCATCCCCCGAACCCTCAGTGCATCCCCCGTCGCTAGGCAACCGGCGGCACCGGCGGCAAGGATCGAAGTTGCCGTGTCAGAGTTACCACCCCGCAGTGTACATACGCCGCCATCGGTACACTCCGCGACCTGGAGGGCTCTATTAAGTACAATCGGGGGCACAAACCAGTTATTAACGGGGGTATAATTCCAGTGAGAAGAATGGACGACAGTTATTAGGCGAAAAAAAAACAGCAACAAATGAAAGAGATTTAAGGACATTCAGTATCACCAAAATTACTGGAAATGATTCATTTTTTTTAATTTATTTATTACATTCTTAAACTTTGAATATTTCTTTAGTTACCTACTTAATCCAGTAAAATTGTATCGCCGTATAGAGGGTGAAAAAAAAATTACGGGCAAGCTGAATTTTTCAGAGTTTGTCAGCGACTGTCTTCTGAGTGTAAAATAAACAAAATCGGAAATTTTCCCCTTGCGGTTTTTGAACAATAGGAGTTTTTTTTTAAACTGTACTACAACAAAATAATTAGACGCAAATTGTAGAACATTCTCTATAAGTTCGCCTAATGAATTTTTTTTATAAGTTTATTATTTCCGGACTTAGCGGCCGTTTCATGAACCCTTTGGGGTGGTTTTCAAAAAGTTTGTTTTACAGCAAATTGAAATAAATGTACAGGGTGGATCAAATTCGACGCTTTTAAATGGAAACACCCTTTTCTATAGGAAATAGACAAAAACTAATATTGGTGTCTGGAGCTCAATTTTTGTCAAAAACATGATGGTGAAAACCGCATATCGATATCTGTTACCGTTTCGGAGTTACGGGGTGTTTTTCAAAAATATGCATTTTTAATAAATCGCTGTAACTTTTTTGCTATGGAAAATTTTGTATTTTTATGAAAACATTTCCAAAGTACTTTTTTACGTAGAATTTAATGGTTTAAGTATATATTTTTTTAAATTAATAATTTAAGAATTATCAACAGAAAATTTGATTTTTTATATGGGACACCCTGTATATTTTTAGTTTATTGAAAAGAATTTAAAATTACCTTTCCAAAAATATAACACGCTTGATATTTTGCTGGATTCCTCTTCGAGATAGAGAGTATATAAAAATTTGCCCGCTTTAAATGAGTAGGTTTTGAACGGCACCGGCTATAATGCAAAAAATTCAAGCTGTGAGCATCAATTAAAACGAAAATTTCACACCTCTACTTTTCAACCAATAACATGCTTTAATGTTGACTAGTTACCATGGCAACTGAAAAAATTTCCGGAAATTTTTTCGAGGCGCCACGAAACTTTAGTGGAAATTTTTTGACAGTTGAAAAGGTAAACATAAGATCTACAATCATAATGTGAATGAACTACAATGACATTTCAATAATTTTTTTGTATTCGTCACTGGTTAAGGCTGAAGCACTCACTTTTCTTTTTGCTGAATCTCTCTGTAGTATTTTGCGCTTAGCATCGCGTGCAGCTCTGGCGGTTACAAATTCCACATCAGAAAACGGATTAAATTTTATTTTATATTTTTCGTAATAAATTTCTTGCAACTGCTTAGCAGTAGAGTTCCACATCACTTTGACCACACTTTCCTTATAATCTTCAAAATTTTTCTTTTTCATATTAAATGCGTAGTCCTCCAGTATAGTAGCCAGCTGTACTACACTCATACACTCATGAATATTATACGATTTTTCATCACAAAATTCAACAAACTGTTTCCATACACTTGATTTTGATTTTCGGGTGTTATCTGGTTTTATATTTTCAATTTCTTCTTTAATGACTTGTTGGTTTACTTTTCCAAATCGCAACATTTCGCTATACACTTCTTACTCTACGTACAGACGTTTTAAAACTAGTAATAGCTTAATGACAGAATCGCAAACAAAAATGACAAAACACATAATATGTCAAAAACATCAATACCTTGGCCAACTTAACAAATTGAAATTATTTTAAAATGTCATGTTGATTAATATTTTTTTTCAAATTTAGGTGTGAAATTTTCTTACCGAATACCACGCAAGCTTAAATTATTCCTGGAAATTTTCTTTCGGGCACGAATATTTTAGGAAAATTATCCATCGTCTTCGACTCGGGATAATTTTCAAAATATTCGTGCCCTCAAAAAAATTTCCGAAAATAATTTAAGCTCTTGTGATATTATAAGTGAAAATAATATTTGTTATGAGAGATGCAGAATTTTATAATAATTTAAAATATATTTAACCAACATCAACACCTTTAAACTATATCTAATAACAATAAAAATAAATAGCAAACCAAGACATGAGATTTTGCTACAGGTGTTGGACATATCAACCGTCTTCTGTTATGGACAGACGGGGCAGTTTTTGAACATTTCTCGCAGAATTCATTAACTCAGTGGAGGTGAAAGATACCCTCTCATAACTGCTAAGTATTTCTAATTCTTGTCTAGATTATACGGAATAAGGAACCTTTATTCTTCCGCAAATATATCCATAGGATTAGATCCATGGGCACTAAGTCAGGCGGCCTCGACGGCCAAAGTTTGGGATCTTGGTTAGTTATTCAATTATTCTTGAAATTGGCTGCAAAAATTTGCTGATAACTTCAGCGTTCAGAGTCGTCTTGCCGGAAAAATATGTTTTCGAGTTCCATTAAGGGCATATCATCAATAAGGGGTCCAAAGCCTACTAGTTAAAAGTGGCGAACTTTTAAAAATTCTGTATTTTGAAGGGGATTATAACAAAATATCAAGTGTGCTATATTTTTGGAAAGGTAATTTTAAATTCTTTAAAGCTAATTAAAAATATAGAGGGTGTCCCAAATAAAAAATCAATTTTTCTGTTGATAACTCTTAAATTATGAATTTTAAAAAAATTATACTTAAACCATTAAATTCTACGTAAAAAGGTGCTTTGGAAATGTTCTCACAAAAATACAAAATTTTCCATAGCAAAAAAGTTACAGCGATTTGTTAAAAATGCACATCCCGCAACTCCGAAACGGTAAAAGATATTGATGTGCGGTTTTCATCATCATGTTTTTGATGAAAATTGAGCTCCAGACACCGATATTAGTTTCCGTCTATCTCCTATAGAAAAGGATGTTTCCATTTAAAAGCGTCGAATTTGACCCACCCTGTACAAGCAACTTTTCCTCATGATTTTTTTTTGTAGCTTCATTATTTTTGGAGATTTTTGGAGCGTCCAGTTCATGAACAAATTAGGGTAGTTTTCAATGTTACTCTTTTTTCAGCAAATTCACCCTAGGAAACTCGTTCAAAATAAGAGTACATATACCTTTGCCTTATGAACTTTTTTTGTTACTTGACTATTTTTGGAGATAGCGCCCAGACCATGAACAAGTGGTGGTAGCTTTAAATGTCTTTTTTTTTTCAGGAAATTCACAAGTGCTATTAGGGAAATAAATACATATCATAGGGAAGTTTGCATGTAATTTTAATATGAACACCTTTAAGTTGGTAAATTTGTAGAACTAAACAAAAATTATGAAACTACCCCAATTTGTTCATGAACTCGACGCTATCTCCAAAAATAAAGAAGCTACAAAAAAAGCATGAGGAAAAGTTGCTTGTCCATTTATTATGAACAACTTTCATACGTGTCAATTTGCTGTAAAACAAACTTTTTGAAAACCACCCCAAAGGGCTCATGAAACGGCCGCTAAGTCCGGAAATAATAAACTTATAAAAAAAATTGTACTAAGTACCGTATATTTTTTTAGGTAATCACATCCTTTGGTTTAATTTATGCTTGAAATGTACAAAATATATAGAAAGAAAAAAAAACAGTATCTATAGGCAACGAATAAAAACCAAAAGAAATACAACTGCATCGCATGAATATATTTAATAATGACACTGAATTTCAATGAAACCTAACCTAAAAATTACTATGAAACAATGAAAAATATAAAATTACATCATGATGCATTAACAAAAATAATTTTAGTAGTTTTATTTAAATTTTCGTGATCACAGCATACACTCAATCTCTATAACTATATAATTACATAAAAATTCTTAGTGAATCTAACTGAACTTCGTCTCTCTTAACGTAATGTTTTGCGTTTTTTATTTTTTTTTTATTTTATCATCGTAGCAAGAATAAGAATTTCAAAAAACAACAAATAAATTCAATAAATAAATAAATTTTTATTTTATTTTAATTTAGGGAAGGGGTTATTCCGTCGCACCAAGTCACTTCTATACTCGGCCATTTTGTTTGCAACACTGTTAACATTGGGTTCGATTCGCACACTGATTTTATGTCGGATTCTAACAATATGGCGGACCCTATATGGTACTGAACCTAAAAAAACAGTACGTACATAATTATACCCCATTTTTTTCTTTCTAATTTTAAGCTTCGTATAAAAAGATTAAGGAACGAGGTTGGAAAATGTACTAAACATCGTACAAAAAGTTTAGGTAATCACATCCATTGTATTAACTTTTGCCTGAAATGTACAATTCCACGATTCTTACCATATTAAAAATGTACTAAACATCGTACAAAAATTTTAGGCAATCACATCCATTGTATTAACTTTTGCCTGAAATGTACAATTCCACGATTCTTTTCATATCAAAAATGTACTAAACATCGTACAAAAATATGAGGTAATCACATCCCTTGGATTACCAATTCCTTAATTTTCTATTGGAAAATTTTAGGTGTGATCGCGTAATAAATTGATTTGTTCTCACCTGTCCGTTCACGTTGCTTTGAGCCAATCCGTTGTAGTGTATTAGTGTGAACATATCGGGCGTTGAAGATTCCTCTTTGGGAAAAAATTCGTCCATAAATGCATTTAATAGAATTATACCTAGCGATTCGTTATCTAATTTCTTTTTCATAATATTTACGCTAAAATCACGAAATAAATATTAAAAATGATAAAAAAATACAGTAACAAAAAAATCTTACTATTCGGTTTCGCTAACTAAATCTAACGCTTGTAAAACTTCTTGAAGCTTATCAGAGCTAATAAAATTGTTCCCATCGGGATCAAAACTTTTGAACACCCTACGTGCTTGTTCGCTCTTTGTTTCCGGACTTACTAATTTTTTTTCGTCGCTGAATAATACTAAAAAACACAAATATAAAAATCTAGCAATGTTATTCACTATAAAAAGTTCGAGAATTTATTTTAAGAGAACGTTCCCATCGTATTAAAAATGTACTAAATGTCGTACAAAAATAGTAGGCAATCACATCCCTTATATTAACTTTTGCATCAAATGTACAATAATAATTAATACCTTATGATCGAAAAAAACACCGTCAATGACGGCTGGGGAGTTAGTACTAGGGTCAAATAATAAGTCTAAAGTTTGACCGCGGAAAAATTATCGATTTTCATTCCCCAGCCATCTTTGACGACGTTTTTTCGATCATATGGTTCTCTTTCATATTAAAAATGTACTAAATATCGTACAAAAATGTTAGGGTATCACATCCTTTGCGTTAACAATTTTAAAAATCTATTTTAGTCTCAAAAATAAAAAATAACTTCAACGAAACAGTGAGATCATAACAAAAAAATGTCAAAAATCTTTACAGGGAACGCTGTCTAGTAAATAAAAAATACCTGTTAAATGTGTATCAGAACCCACGACCCATATAGGATGAATGGGATTCTTATAGAACGAACCCACGGTACAATATCTGTGGTACTCCATTATGGTGATAAACCCGATACGGCTCTGTTTCTCTATACCCTTGAGCTCTAGAAAATTATTGAGAAGAAACAAGGTGAAATAAATTTAAATTTGAGGAAAAATTACTGAGCCCGGCAACGTCCTGGAAATGATCCCAGACGTACGTCGTCGCCCGTCCTGTGATCATTAGATTTATAAGGGATTGACTGCCGTAGCCGTACGTTTCGTCTATCCAGGGTTCCTGTGAATCCCCGCATTCCGATTTAACCCGTTGCAAGCCCTAATAAATAATACCAGTAAAATAAACAAACAATTAAAATGGTCAAATAGCTTTGATATCAAATTGTAACAATTTGGTCCTTGTATTCTTTTTAATAATTGAATAAAATACATATAAAAAAACGTACCCGAGATAATATCACAGAATATAGAAACAACAACACGCCAAATCGGTCTGTGAGCGACGCAATATTTTCAGAATAATACTTTGTTACATCTTCTATGCTTTGAAAGTACAAAATTTCCAAATCGTTATGAAATCTCGCCGGATCCAAACCCTCGCCGACTTCCGGCAAATTCTCGTTGGTGTCGCCATCTGTCGAGCGATTATCCAAGCGCGCTATTAAATATTTCTCCGTACTACACTCGCTCAAAATCTCACAGAGGGCGCTGACCAGTATTTTGTTTTGTAGTTCATCTGTACTGACCTGTATAAGTAAATCATCAAAAATATATTTAAGTAAAACAAAAAAAATCTACGTCTGGAAGTATTACTTTTTCTCTAAAACTCAAATCCTGATGTTCCAGTAGAAGGTTTTTAATAATAAACGCTTGCACAGGGGATATTATAGCACAAGGACCGCCTTCAGCCTGTTCCAAACAACTTTTTTCATTCGAACTAAAATAAAACCCTAAAAACACCGAAAAAAAATGAACCAGACCTCTTAAAAACCTTTGTAAATTAATAAACTATTTGAATTTACCTTGGGACCATCGTCTAAAAATGTCCTGTTTAATTTCAGAGCCCCACAACAGGCTTCTTAGGGCTCCCAACTCTTGTTCGGCTACGGAGGGCAACGTTTCTGCCATTTTTGGCAAAAATGCCGTGCCGAAAGTACACAAATATGCGGTATTTTTTTTAAATTTCACAAAATTCCTCAACAACACAAATATTCGAGGGTTAAGGAGATGATTGACAACTGGAACTGTCAAAATTTGGCGCCATCTGGAAGGGCTGAGGCGAATACTTTCGCGCTGGTTCAAATGAACTATTCGATAGAGATTTTTATGTCATATATAAATCAAATTTATACCTGTCATATATGTAAAAGAGAACTGAATTGTGAGAAATTTGTTGTTTTTTATATACTTTATAATTCTGTTTTATAATTAATTAAACACAGTGTACTGGTGCGTTCTACAATACGATATAAATATATTATGAAGAAAATTATAGTTTTTTTATAAGTTATAGAGTATTGGGTAAGGTTATGATTGTTATTTTTGTTTCTTATCGAATTTATAGATAAATCACCAGAAACATATCGACTAAAATTAGTATATTTAGAGTGTTTATTGTTCTAATTAGATTAAATTTAAAATTTTTGTTTATAAAATAAAATTAATCAATTTTATATTAGCCCGCAAACTTTTTAGGACCACAGAGCTGGTGCTAGTTATCGGGCTAAAATGTTTCCGATGTTTGAGCTCTTGTTTGTTTAAGTTAAATAATAATAACATGGTTTTTAAACAGTTTTTATTTGTCGCAGAGTTGTACAGGGTAAGATCCTTGTATATCCTAATTATTGACAATATCTTTAGCTTTCTAAATAAGGAATAAACCAAAGTGAACAAACAACAATGGCTGCCGACAGTAGGAAAACTCGGAAAAGCAACTTTTCCGCCGAGGAAAAAGACGTGTTGATATCGACAGTGATGCACAATTACGATATATTATACGGGGAGACTTCGAAAAGCTACTATCACAAAGAAGCCAGGAACCAGGTATGGAACATTGTTCTTGAGGAAGTCAACAAAGTTTCCCTGGAAAAACGTACTCTAGCGGAGGTGAAGAACAAATGGAAAAAATGCCAGCACAATGTAAACAAAACGGACGAATCCGTAGACAATTCGAGCTATACAGAGTATGACGATTTAGGTAGGTTTTCATTAATATTTCTATTTTGTTTTGATTTTCGTTATACCGTTTGAGAACCGCCGAACGACGGTTTTCAAACGACACTGACAGCAGCTGTCAGTCAGCTGTCAAAATCGTAATAACACAAATGTTTTTAATTTGTTAACAATTCGGAGAGATTCAAAAAATATTAGATTGTGATTATTATTGTAAGAAATTGATATGTTTTTGGTTCGTGTTATAAACATTACCTTACCCAGTTAAAAAAATATCAGTTATTAATAAAAATAATGATCTAAGTACATCAGGCATCATAGTGTTTGTAGAAAAAATTCTTACAAACGATTATTATACAAAATGAAATCGAGAAAAGGACGCAGTCGTGCGGTACCTAATCCAGTGGCCAGACAGCATATGGGCACATACGATACGTCCTTTAAGAGAGCTGTTATATTGTATGCCGAACAAACTAATGTTAGGGCTGCGATGAAGCGTTTCGGTGTGAGTGAGAATAGTGTGAAAAGGTGGAAAAAATTAAGGTTTCAAATACTGGACAAACCACCCCCTATTGTGAGGAGGTCTCAGAGAAATACATCATCGCATTTTGATTCAGGTACAAAAGAAAAGAGTCAGATTAAGCAAGGTTCTAAAGACCTAGGTGTATTTTATTTTTCCCTGTATACTTAATAAATCTAGTTTTTTCGAGCGTTATTTTCTTTGTTATTGATATCGGTTTACAGAATTTGCAGAATTTTAGTATAGATATTTTAATTTGGTATATTTATAACCTCCAATGCGGCGTATATCGTACATTGTTGTCTCATAGCCGTGTTGCCAAATGTGTGGATGCAATAAGTGCCATCACTTTAAATAAATGTATACATTTATTTTAATATATACTGGTTTGAAACACTAGCTGGTTAATTTTTAAAGTTTAAAAACAACGAACTGTTGTATAATGATTTCTTAGGCTTATACCCCTAATTTCATCCCCCTAGGGGATAAAATTAGGGATAGAATATTGTATAAAAATTTCAGACTTTTAGTATACTTTGAGTGCTTTATTAGTGCTTGAATTTTTTAGATTCAATGCCACTACAACAACGTCTGTCACAGAATTCTAACCAAAATACATCACTATCTTCTGGTGATGTGTCATCAGGTGCAGTGCAAGAACCAGTGTTGCAAAGTCAGCCCATATCACCAACAAAACTAAAGGCAAGTATATGTTAACATTCAGTATACAGGGTGGCTCGAATTGTATTCCGGAAACTTCGGCAGCATATTCTGCAGATAAATATAAGTAAAAAAGTTCGTATAAATGTATGTCCTAAAATGCTTAGTTTTGGAGATACAGGGTGTAGAACTTTCATTTTTATATCGATTTTTTCCAAATCATTTCTGAAGTAACGTCAATATTTGGATGAAAATTGGTGTCTGGGAGTTTTTTGACATGAGAAATTTGATTTTGATGTCTACAGGGTGAGTTTCCTACGATGTTCTCTATGGATATCTCGGAAACTACTGGAGATAAGAATTGCAGTTTTGTGGGGTCATAAATATGCGCCTTTCAGATTTTTGAAAAAGTTCGTGGCTTACTAGATATTTCGAAAAAAACAAATTTTGGCTATTTTAAAAATTGTCCCTAATTCCATTATAATCTATTTTAGACAAAAAGTGTTCAGATAACAGTTGTAGATAATCACATTCCTAATGAGTTTGTGTTTCCGATTTTTTCTAAAGCCTGTCATTTTTGACTTATGACACAAACATATGTTTTTTTAATGGAAACCATAGTTGGCCATGACTTCATAAAAAGCACCATTTTTTAAGTTTTTCAGCGATATAAGCTATAATATGTTTCTTTCACAAAATTACTGAATTATAGCCAATTCTTATCTTTCTTGGGTAATTTCACTTAGTTAGCCATGGAAACAAGTTTTCAATGGTGTTTTAATTTTGTTATGATTTATTACGTATAAAAAGACAAAATATATTATTAAACGGCTCTTTACAATTTGCATTACACAAACTAAAACTTAAAAAAATAATATCACTATAAGTTATTTTAGAAAATTTTCAAAAAATCCGCAATTGTTTTGAGTACATAAATTTATCTTTTTAAAACTGAATTTCTAGCTGTTCTCACAAAACGACCGGTCGACTTAATTAAACTTCTCCTGTTCCACCTCTTCGAGTGCCCCTCTCAATTCATGGTGTGTCATAATGAAAGTCATGTTGGAACCACTCATTAATGCGCGAGTATTAATAAATTTACCTTTTCTAACATGTCTTGAAAACCTTTCTCTAAAAAAAGTAAGTAACGTTCACTGGTCAACGGTCAACGTATCCTCGAAACTGTATGGCCAAGAGAAGTTGAACCAATAATCCTACACGCTTTTCTTCATTTGAAAAACTCTTATTTACAATTTTTGTTTATTTTAATTTGCAAAGATTGAATGTGACAATTTCATATTTCTGAGAGCAACGACGATTGAACTTCTTTCCATGGCTAACTAAGTGAAATTAGCCAAGAAAGATAAGAATTGGCTATAACTCAGTAATATATTATAATTTATATCGCTGAAAAGCTTAAAAAAATGGCGCTTTTTATGAAGTCATGGCCAACTATGGTTTCCATTTAAAAAAACATATATTTGTGTCATATGTCAAAAATGACAGGCTTTAGAAAAAATCGGTGAACAGAATCTCATTAGGGATATGATTATCTACAACTTTTATCTGAAAACTTTTTGTCTAAAATAGATTATAATGGAATTAGGGACAATTTTTGAAATAGCCAAAATTTGTTTTTTTCGAAATATCTAGTAAGCCATGAACTTTTTCAAAAATCTGAAAGGCGCATATTTATGACCCTATAAAACTGCAATTCTTTCCCCATTTAACTGACTCTCTATCTCCAGTAGTTTCCGAGATACCCATAGAGAACATCGTAGGAAACTCACCCTGTATATGACTCCTACTGGTAGAGGGCGCCACCTACTTATTTTTTAACAGTTTTGAAGAGTAATAACTTTTTGTCTGTACCTGTATAAAACAACTGGTTAAAAAAATATACCTTTATGGCGTTTTTTACATAAAAAAGGTATTTTTGTAAAAATCGCTAGGAGTAATGGTTCTCGGGATATTTGGAATCGAAGTTATCAATACCTGTCATATCATTGACATAAATTAAACATGTTGACTAAATAGTTATTAGACTGAAATTATAAATTTGAAATGATTTTGTGTCAAAAACTCAGCAGAAGCTGTTTTATCAAGTCTTTTACCAGTCAAAAAAGATTTTGGTCAAACAGAGTCAAAAAAATTTGAAAGAGAGAAAAAGGATGTAGGAGAGTGAGAGTATATAAGAAATAAAGTATATGAGAGAGATATTAACTATGAATATATTTTATGATTAAAGGTTACCAGACAAGGAGCTAAACCATCTGTTAATAATTATCCAAAAGACCCACCGCCTATACTGATACCGGAAAAAATCTGTCTTAAGTGGGACAGTCACCACGTCAATATGCAATTGACTTTTCCTAATTTACTACTGAAAGAACAGTACGTAGATGCCACTTTGGTGTCAGAAGGGAAGACCCTTAAGTGTCATAGGGTATTTACTTTTAAAAAAATATATTTTCGAGTGTGTATATATGTATATATTTTTTCAGATGATCTTGTCGTCATGTAGTTCTTATTTTGAGGAGGTACTAAGTGAAATTAGTCCTCTCCAGCATCCGGTTTTGTTTATGAAGGACACGCCATTTTGGATTCTGAAAGCCCTGTGTGATTTCATGTACTCTGGGGAGGTGCACATTTTGCAAGACAAGCTAGATGAACTTCTTGCTGTGGCAAATACGCTTAAGGTATATTAATTTACATGTTGTACCGTATGATCGCAAAAAAAACGGCGTCAAAGAAGGCTGGGGAATGACAGTCGATAATAATTTTGGCTGGGTCAGTCTTTAGATTGAAAATTGACATAAAACTTTAAAAAAATGGACCGCGCCAAAATTATCATCGATTGTCATTCCCCAGCCTTCCTTGACGCCGTTTTTTCTTCGGCTTTACAGTAGTACAGTAGTACAGTCTCTATATAAGATATTAAGTTTTTTTTTTGGTTTCTAGATAAAAGGTTTGACTGAAACTAAAAATACTCAAGAAAACAACAAAATTCCTGTTCCTCTAGTGATAAAGGAAGAAAAAGATGCAGTACCGTGCCAGATTATTAAGAAAGAACCGCCAAAAGAAACAGAAAGAACGCAAAAAATCGAACAACATTCACAAGAAAACAGAAACAGAAGAAAGGAGGATAAAAAATCGAAACACCAATCAAATCAAAATATTAAAGACCCGGTTATGGAGGAGTCCACATCGAAAAGTGTGTCAAAGTTACTACAAAAAGTTGTACCGAAAGTCGTACAAAAAATGTTGCCCAAGGTACTACAAGGAGTGTATAATGTTTGTTTTGGTTAAGTGTATATTATTATTATTTTTTTCAGGCTACTAATCAAAGATCTAGTGTCAAAGGCGTTTCAAAAACGTCAACGTCAAAAAATTCCAGGGATGGGTCGAAAAAAAATGACAAACAAAAAAGAGAATGTTCCCCGCCAAAAGATAAAGAAAAGGTAATACAAAATGTACTATATGATCGAAAAAAAATCGATATGTTCGTTCCTCCAAGCTGACTTGACGCCGTTTTTTTTTGGGTCGTATGATATTTATTTTAGATGGAATCACCTGTATGTTTTACTTGTTTTTTGGATTCTACATTAATTTTTTGTATATCATTCTAAGTTTGTTTTTGAATTATTTTTATTTATAAATCTATAATTCATCTCACTAAAGCTGACGATTCAACGTCGATAACGTACGACTTAAATAGGATTGTACTTCTCGAAAATGTACTGAATAATTATTGTACTGAGCTGATAATTTTCCTAGGTACTACAGAAAATATATATTTCGTTTATTAAACCTCTAGGTGTCCCTTAAATAATTACCTATATAAAAATAATTTTAATGCAATTTTTCATATTAAAAAATGTACTAAATATAGTACAAAAATTAAAATATGTACTAAATATCGTACAAAAAGGTTAGGTAATCACATCCCTTGAATTATATGTCTGAGTTTTTTTTCTCTAACACCTTATTGTATATAATTGACGGCTGTCATGTTACTGAACCTCGAATCGTCATATCTCTCGCGAAATGTACTATTTATTGTACTATACTTAATTTAGGACAAACCCCTAAAGAAAAATGCACACATTAACGACCCGTTGGACTTGCTCGAACCGGTCTATGAAGAAATAGCGAAAGAAGAACCAGCAAACGTACCTACAAAGAATGTAAACCCAGTCAAATTAAAGGAACAGAAAAGTTTTTCTCTTAAAAAAGGGATAAGGAAGATCAAAGAGGATACGGCAACGTCGCGTAAAAAGGTGAAAAAGCGACGGTACGCCGACTATGTCGAGGGCAGAGAAGAGGTAGGGATATTTTTATGATTTTTTTGGATTTATTTTGATAAAAAAATGTGTTTTTTTTTTATTTTTTAGTCACCTTCCCCCACGTTTCAGTCTAGGAAGGGGACTAGGTCGCGACCCAACGTGAAAATACCGAAATTTTTCCACACTACCTTCGAGGATTCGCCAAGTAAAGAACACCCTATAGAAACGACTATAGTTCGTGTGCCGCATACCGATCAAAACGACCCTTTAATCGGCGCTGAAATCAATTCTATAAAAGCCGAACCGGTGGACGTGGAAGAAAACACCATAGAAGTGGAGGAAAACATGGTTAACTTTATCGCGCAAGGTAATGACGTCACGATCGACTTTCGCGAAAGCTACTATACATTTTTTTAATTTATTTTATTTTTCGTAAAAACAACAGAAATTACGTCGCAAGAGGGAGAGGAAATTATAGGAAGTTACGACAGTCCGATAGTGAATATACAGAGGGAGGGAAAAAGAAACACCCCGAACATATTCAAGAAAATTTTAGTGACGGATCCGGTGATTATGGCCGTTCACACCGTGACGGAATCGCACCACCAATCGACAGTCGGGTAATGATCGAAAAAACGGCGTCGAGTGAGCTGAGAAATCTCTTCATTTCAAAGCCTACTACGACGCCGTTTATTTTTTTTGTAATTAATAAGTATTTCGGATATGGATATTTGACGCGAAAAAAAACATATTTTGTTTAAAATATACGCGTACTAGATCATACAGGATGTGGCAAAAAATTGCAACAAATTTAGTAGAATTTTCTTGAAACACTTTAAAAAATTATTTTTTTTTGTTGCGTATACTTAACGTAAACACCCCGACATACAATTAATATTACCCTTTAATGCATTATTTATTTTTGAAAGCAACACTTTTTTGAACAAAGTTTCGTCCCTTAATATACAGGGTATTTCAAAACTTAATTCGCCCCAATTTAAAGCGCTGTCTCTAATTTGGATCACCCTGTACATGTAAAAGAGGAGATATGATACTAATTGGTTCTGATATTATTTTAGATTGCTGAATATAAACGAAGAAAACGTCCAACTAGTGGATATAGCAAAAATCAGCGCTCAGCAAACGGAATCAGTAAACAGTGCTGACAATTTGGAGGTTATGCAAGATAAAACATCACTTATTAAGATAACCAACGTGCAGAGTATAGCGGATAACGTGAAAAACGAAGCGATGGATTCCAATAGTGTTCCTCCTGAAGAAGATTTAAGACCTCCAATAGCTAATGAAGAATTCCAAGAAAACAGAGATCATACAGAAAAATACTATAACGAAGAAAATGAAGAAACGGTCCAAAGGTTCTGTACCGAAGAAGGAAATAAAGAAATGCACGAAGAATTAGAAGAAAACGGGGATCAGATAGAAAAGGAATTTTTTACAGAACATGGAAATAAAGAAATTGGCGCTGAAGAACTACCCGACAATATGGAACATCCTGTAGAATGCTCTCAAATTGAAAACGAATCGGCAAAATGTAAAGAAGACGGAAATAAAGAAATAGTCAATGAAGAATTAGAAGGAAATATAGATCATCCAGAAAAATACTGTCCTGTAGAGAACGAATTGGTACAAAGTGGAGAAAACGTCGAAAAAATCTTTACAGGAGATGGAAATAAGGAAACTTTTGATGAAGATATAGAGGGAAACAAAGATCGTCCAGAAAAACACTGTCAAGTAGAGAATGAATCGTCGCAAAGTGATGATAACCTTCTTGGATCAAACAAAGATGGAGATGTTGACGTTGCCATGGATACAGGCGAATCAGAGTTGCTAAATTTCCCAATAGACGGTGCGGTGAGCGAAAGCCAGAATTCCGGGGTCGTTGGAAGCAGTCTCGGTAGTCTGACAAGTCATATTGACATGTTAACTTTCAACAGTCCCATAGATGATCTAAATACGAATAAAAATACCGAAGTCAGTCATTTTGAGGCTCTTGAAACTGTGGTTTTGAACCAGAAGACTGAAGAAGAAGTCAATTTATTCCGCGAAGAAATCCATCAAACTCTTGCAGATAAATCTGTAAAAGAAACAGGTAAAATTGATGAGGACAGCTTAGTACCAATGGAAACCGAACACCAAGCCATTAGGGATTCGGAAAACCTGCACGATAGTACCGGTTTAAATGAAAATCCAGTTAATGACACTGATATAAGTTCCATCCCGGAAACCAGTACAAAAGTTGGGTTAAGTACTGATTCTAAAGGTACTCAAGAACCAAAACGCCATGATATAAACGATATAACCTCAAATAAAAAATTACCGGTTGTACCAAATGAGTCAGAATCCTATGAAAACGACCAAAATTTACAGGAAACTGTAACCAAAAGTGATGATAGTTTCACGTGCCCAAATTCAAATTTAGAAGAAAAATTGTTGGCATTTTCTCCAGAGCCTGATGCCTGCACTTCGACGTCTGTTAAATGTACAGTGCAGGACGAAAATAAGTTGGAAGAAAGCTTACTGGAAATGGAGGAAGATGTCATTATGACAGACGCGTCAAATGTCAATCGGGGTGCGGACGTGGACCCTGAAAAAACCTTGGAAATGATCGTGAACGATCTGAATGCAAGTTTGGGCACTTCGCATGATTAATTTTACTGAAATTATTTAAATACTTGTCAAAAAATGTCGTGGTGGAATTTTTTATTTTGTCCCACACTGTAGATATATTTTTAGCTTGTTTTATTTAAATTTTATATACATCCTAGATTATACAAGGCGCGCCAAAAAAGTGCAACACAAAGAAAATTCTCTTAAAAAGTTGACATTTTTTTTGTTGCGTATACTTTTTGTCGCACAGTTTATACCATTAAACGCCCCCGTTATACAGGTAATTTTACCCTTTAACGCATTTATTCGAAAGTAAAACTTTTTCTTAGAGTCAAGTTTCATTCCTTAATATACAGGGTGGCGAAAAAAGTATGTGTTACTCTAAAACACCCTGTATGTCGTTTTTTTATAAACGGCAAATATATTTTCGCATAGTTAAGCAACAAAATAAAAATTCGATGTCAAAATATACAAGTAGCATAGTTACAGCACTGTATATATCGCGTATATTAGAATATTTTAGTATTTAACTATATAGTTACAGGTTCTTTAGAACAAGGTATATATTATATTATATAGGTAACATTTGTACTCTAATTATTCTAGTTATTTTCAGTTATTTTTAAACTGAGAGTTATTATCATGATCACAAAAATATCTAATCGAAGATATGAGATTTTTTAAGCTTATTTTAGAAAAAAAAACGTTTATATAGTTTTTATATTGTTCCTGTGATTTTTTTTATATGTATGTATGGTTTAATTTTGCTTGTATCCTTTCGTACGTTTACTTATTTGTAGTTTATATTATTTATATTTTTAGTATTAAACTTACAGAAGTAAAATTCAACGTTAAAAAAATCATTTGTGTCTTATTTTGTGCCGTAGAATAGTTTTTTTGCATTTTAAGTCTTTTAGGACAAAAGGAAGATGTTAGTTTTTAGCGTAATCTACTGTAGAAAGTACAGTTCGAATGTACCAATTTTTTTACTGTATTTTTGAACCCTAACCTTTGAAAAAAAATAAGAGATAAAAGAAAATACATTATTACTTTATTTCGACATGAAATATAAATTTATTGCTCTATACAAACATGATCTATTAAAATAATTATAGTGCTTAGGGTGTCGCAACTCGCAACTTACTGTATATTTCCTGTGATACCAGACTTTACAATAGTCTGCTACTTTTGTGCCGTGCATTATCAACTCTATATCTTTGATTTTTCCCTGTTTTAATGCTCATTTCCAAAAAAAAATTCTCTAGAATGTAAAGAAAATATGAATAAATAATATATTAAAGAAACCAGAGAGTTTAGGAGATAACGAGATAAGTTAACGAAATGCTTACCTATTTTTTTGGAAGTCCATCGCTTCACAACTGCCCCCCATCTTCAAATTCTTACAAGAAGGAAGATTGAACATAGTTTTAACCTGAAATATTAAATAAACATTAGTTTTTTGAAGAGTTTTATAATATACTCATATAAAATCTTAAGAAAAGGTAACAATGAGAGATTAAAAAATAATATAAATGTAATAATTATTGTTGTTCTCACCGTAGCGAGTAGGTATTTCATAAACCAAAATAATTTGGCAGCTGCTACTAATATCTTAGAATTTTATCTTCTACTCCTATCCATGTCCATATATTTATCTTTTTTCCATTTTCCAAGATTTTCTTGACTTTATGGTGAAGGAACATATAATAAGATTCATATTTTTGATAAATATTCCCTAAAAGTTTGATAAAAAAAGAAAAAAGTATTAGCCTTGTATATATATTTTTAAAGTAGATCAACCTAAGACGTTTATGGACTAAGACTACTAGATGGCAGGACCGGTTTCCCTACAGAAAAATATTTTTTGTTACTCTGAATTTTGAAGCTACCAATAAAAACAGAGAAAATAAAAATCGATAATTTTCGGACTGTGCCAATTGGTTACTAATCGACCAGGTACTTTTTCTCTATTAGATATGCTCTAAAAGCTGGCAATTATACAATTCGACCATTGTAAATACCCGACAAATTCTTCAAGGCCGACAAGGCCGATGCTTCTGGCGGGTTCTCACTTGTCAGTTTCGCTGACGCAGTCTGACTGACTCAGTGATACTGAACAAACAAGGCGGGTTCTCACTTGTCAGTTTCGCTGACGCAGTCTGACTGATTCAGTGATACTGAACAAACAATGAACGAGAACACATTTTCATGTTAAATGATCAGTACATTCGTACTTTCAGTTAAAGTGAAAACCAGTTCTACTTTTTTTCATTTTGACTGATCATTATCGAATAATGAATAGAAACTGAAGCGTGAGAACTACATTTTCGTGATTTGTGCAGTTTACAAGTTAAGTTAATTAATTCTTTTAATATAGTTTCACTAGCACCCCGTTTATTTCTTCGCAATATCCAGGACCTGACCACCTACGACGTTTTTTTTTTCTTTTCTGATTCACCCAGAGGATTCACCAGAATATTCTGTAATTCATTTGCTAATTGTAAACAAACTTCGCGAACACCTAGTTTCAATTTTGTTTTAATCATTTTCATGTCTATACGAAATCACCACATTAGAATGTTTGGACCAACTGAATACTGAATGTAGCAAAACATGAAACGTGTGAATACAATCGTTGTTTTTTATTTTTCATTGATAATGAATCAGTCAGACTGCGTCAGCGAAACTGACAAGTGAGAACCCGCCTTCACTGATAAGAAATAAAAATGTTTGTTTAGATAATTTTCGAGGTATTTTTTCTTTCTGAATGTCCATTTTAAAGTATTTTATATTCTTTGTCCCCTTGACCTATTATCCTGGTTGCACGTATGGAAGTTCTGTTTCTTCTAGTTTTAGAAAATGTTCATATTTCTTTTTTCTTTGTAGGTGTAGTGTAAAATTAGATTAATTTATTAAGTTTAATTGTAGTGTTTAGTGTAGTTTACCAAAAATAGTTTAGTAGTGTTTTTATAGTTTATTTTGTAGTTAAGTAGTAGGTGAAGGGATAATTTTGTTATTTTTTCTTTTTGTTTGATAAATTAGTAAGTATGATAATTTGTTCAGTGTAGAATACAAGAATAAGTAGTTGTGTAGTGTTTTTAAGAGATTATATTCGTTTATTTTGTAGTTGAGTAGTAGGTGAAGGGGTATTTGGGTATTTCTTCTTTTTGTTTTTCTTGTAATAATTGTAGTAGTTCTATTAAGTATTGTGATAGATACACTATATCTTCCTTCAACTTCGTTGAAAAGTGCGTTATCATATAATCTTGGTTTTCTGGTAGTAGAATATACGAAAAAAAAATCTGATCAAATTTATTTTAAATTAAATTAATCTAGCCTTATTAATCAAATTAAACTAGTCAAATAATAATAATAGTTAGTTTCAAAATACTATACAGGGTGAGTTTCCTACGATGTTCTCTATGGGCATCTCGGAAACTACTGGAGATAGAGAGTCGATTAATGGGGAAAGAATTGCAGTTTTGTGGGGTCATAAATATGCGCCTTTCGGATTTTTCGGAGAAGTTCAAGGCTTATTAGATATTTCGAAAAAAACAAATTTTGGAGAGAGCCCTATATACGGTAAACGACTTTTTTGTTGATGTTTAATTATGAACAATTTTGAATTTTGAAATTTTGATCATCTCACACACTGGCCAAAGGTCTCAAGTATTTAATATTTTATAACTCTAAAATTATATCTATTTACTGCGTACTGTTCTGCAATTGTCCATGTATATTCTTTTTGTTATTTTAATGACTTAATTTTTTTTCAATTGTATTATTTGTATTGTGTATTTTTTGTTGTTTGTATTTTTTTTGTGCTTTTGTTTGTTTTGTGAGTGCTTTGTCGATGAAGCCGTTTTGGCTTTTTGTACACCATGCTAACTTAATTCTTCTGTTGATTTCTGGTGGTAGAGATCTCGAGCTGTATATTAGTTGTTCCAAATATATTTATTCTACTATTTCCAGGGTTGTTTATTTATTAGAATGTCTTTTCTGTCTACTAGTTCGTTGTATATTACTTTAGTTTCTGATGAACTCATTTTGGGACCTACTTTACTGCTGGCTGTATTTAGTTCGTTAATTTGGGCTTATAGTTCTTCAGGACTATTGGCAATTAGGACTATTGTCATCAGCGAATCTTAAATTGTTCAAACATTCTCTATATATTTTTAATCCTTTGTTGGTCCAGTCCAGTTGACGGAAGATTTCTTCTAGTGTTGCTGGAAACAGCTTTGAGAATATCGCATCTCCCTGTCTTACCTGTAGTATATATCACTATATTTTTTTACACTCAATAATTATTTTCACTCAAAATCTGTCTATCTTCACAGCACTCATCACTACCCTCCCAAAAATTCCACATATATATAGCGCCCTGAAAAAAAGGATATGCAACAACCAATCCACAATACCTACAGTGCAGCTCATACAGAGAACGTTAGTCCCTGAAGAGGTTGGAGTTGAAAAAACTGAAACACTGAACAACATGAACCAATGTGAACCTGTAAGGCACTCAGATAACCTTAAAGATATCTACTCAAAATGACCATTATGTGGTTCCTTGGAGGCTCATACAAAGACTGATAGTAATAGAGCATCTTGAACTACTGCTGTAAAAAAATAGGAGCAACAAAAGAGTATCATATACATAGAAATTGTGTAGACTTCAATTTGGCTTCGACATGACTCTCTAACCTGTTGCATACAGCTTCAAACAAAGTAGAAGTTCAATCAACGTAAATCTGTAAGATACAAGAAGAATCATACAATAATCTCCTGAAGGGGTTGAGTCAAGTAGACTGCAGTAGTTCCTGGGAAGCCTCGTATTTCTGGATCATATATTTTCCCATTCGTGCTTCAAACGTAGTAGAACTTCAACCCATGTGAACCTATGAAACACAAGAACCCACAAAAATATTTTGCAGACATCCACTCAAACTGACTGCTGTGGTTCCCTGTAAAAAATAGCAACAAAAAAAAAGACTACCATATACGTAGAGATTGTGTAGACCTCCATTTGGCTTCGACATGACTCTAACCTGTTGCATACTGAGCTTCATACAAAGTAGAAGTTCAACCAACGTAAATTTATAAGATACAAGAAGAACCATACAATAACCTTCTCAAGGCGTTGACTCAAGACTCGTTGACTTCTGGATCATTATGTTCCCATTCGTGCTTCAAACTTAGTAGAACTTCAACCCATGTGAACCTATGAAAGACAAGAACCCCACAAAAATATTCTGCAAACATCCACTCAAACTGACTGCTGTAAAAAATAGTAACAAAAAAAAGACTACCATATACGTAGAGATTGTGTAGACCTCCATTTGGCTTCGACATGACTCTAACCTGTTGCATACTGAGCTTCATACAAAGTAGAAGTTCAACCAACGTAAATTTATAAGATACAAGAAGAACCATACAATAATCTTCTCAAGGCGTTGACCTATGAAAGACAAGAACCCCACAAAAATATTCTGCAAACATCCACTCAAACTGACTGCTGTAAAAAATAGTAACAAAAAAAAGACTACCATATACGTAGAGATTGTGTAGACCTCCATTTGGCTTCGACATGACTCTAACCTGTTGCATACTGAGCTTCATACAAAGTAGAAGTTCAACTAACGTAAATTTATAAGATACAAGAAGAACCATACAATAATCTTCTCAAGGCGTTGACTCAAGACTCGTTGACTTCTGGATCATTATGTTCCCATTCGTGCTTCAAACTTAGTAGAACTTCAACCCATGTGAACCTATGAAACACAAGAACCCCACAAAAATATTCTGCAAACATCCACTCAAACTGACTGCTGTGGTTCCCTGTAAAAAATAGTAACAAAAAAAA